ATGGATTAATCACAAGAACTAACCACGCAAATCCTAATGGGTATTTAGAAACCAGTGAAGCCTCTAAGATGTTCTGTGGGGAACACCATATATTTTCTAATCCATGAGTATGTGCAAAAGGGTATGTAATTTATAATGGAAGTGTTGACAGACTTTAGCTTTGGTGTTGCAAATGAGCCTCATGATATATTTACATGTGAGTAACATTTCACATATATGAACACATGTACCCAGCATATTTCTTTAGATGGTATTATATCCAATAACTTAGGTGAATGGTTGCAATAAAGAATAATAAGCTTTAGTTTTGCTAATCTTACCATAGTTCAGCTTTGAGAACTGCATTACTGTTAAATTGGTCAATGAAAATCTGGCAATATTAATGTTATCAAGCATGAAAACTAACTGTATTTGGATCAGGAACCTTTATTTATAGCATTTTATTTAGGACTTATTAGTTTAAAGGCAGAGCTGTATGTCTCATGAGTCCTTAAATATTAAATAGTCAGAAGTCACGTGTTCTCTTCTAACTGCAACAATATAAACAAAAAACTGCAATTATACATTAATTTCAATTTCCTTATATTACCCAAAGATGCTTGATGAAGTAATAGCAAACCCTATAAAGTTTTGAACCATACCGTATAAACAGTTGGTTGCAGATGTGAAAAAGCCTTAATAATAAAGCTCAGTTAATGAGAAGAGAAGTAAAAGATGATGACTTTGTACTAACGTGAAAAAAAATCATTGAGCCTTTACATATTGAATAAGCAAACATATATTTATGTTTTATCTGCTATTTGTAATTCTCATGTTATTTTTTTATGCTCATACTACTTTCTTTTTTCATTTCCTTCTCATTTCTTTGGTAAAATTGTCATTATGGCCTGTTTTTGTCCCTAAATAGTACCTGCAAGTTTAGGATCAGATGGGTTTGCTGTGAGTCAAAATAGTTACAAGGGGAACATCATCATGGTTCATTTTCCCCCCCTGTTTTATTTGGAATTGAATTAGGAAATGAAAGTTTTTAGCAGTTTAATTCACTTCTCCATAAAGTTTATGGAGCAGCAACAGCTGGTTGAATCCGTGGCAGAAAAACTCAACTTCTTGTGGCCAAGCTATTGTTTTAGAATTAAGGGGGGGAAACTCATTAACTGCTAATGAAAACTCAGGGAATAAAAACAAATAGCACAGAAACTCTAGCAAATAATTACCTTACACCTAACACAAAGCTACTTTATCTTTCTGCTCCAACCCTAAGAAATTCCCAACTTATCACTCTGTGGAGCATGAATGAAATTGAGTTTGACTCTCAGGAAAGAACAATAGAGAAATATCCCCCTTATAGGCCCCTCAGCATAATACTCAGTGGAGAACCTGACATTGAATATACTAAGGAGTGTATCTAGCGCCCAATTCTTATGACACTTAGGATAGAGGAGCAAATTACCAGCTAATAGCAGGTGAACCCTTGATATAGTTCCCCCAGATCTTGTTTAGAAATACAAAGAGAAGGGACTGGAGGTAGTGGATGTGATGAATGGAGATATTGTGTGTTAGAATATATATGTCTGTATAGAAATATATTGATTCTGAGTGAGTTGCAATGGGAAAGTGTGTCTCTAGTGGCAAGGGTTCTTGCTTGTGAGAAAGCCACTCTAAGCAGATGGAGTTCTGAGCCCTAATTGGAGAGCTGCTGAGTGGAAATATCTGTCACTATAGTTTGTGATCATTTATGTCTGATCCCAATGGACTATAGTAGTGGCCACTTGGAATTGCGACTATCAGAGCTGTAGATGAATCCAGAGATCACGTGCGGTTATGTTTTAAGAAAAAATGATGTTATAAACTTAAACAAATCCAAAATAACCACAGTAACTGCTAGTTCTTCTATAAAACTTTTCACCCATGCATCTTGAATAGTTGTAATCATTTTAATTACACAGGAGTGTCTATTTATATGGTGTTAAAGGTTTTTTTCGGTGTATGCCCAAGGGAGTTGGGCCACTTGATATAACACTAAAAACACTTATAGCAATATTTCCATCATCAGGAACTAATTATACTTGGATGTAAAAACATATTTTCAAATGTTTCTCCCACTGCAACTAATTTTAGTACTGATCTTGGCTCTGTTTTTGCTGTGTTGAGTTTTGTACCTTTGTTGTTATATCCTTTTATGGAGGCATGGTCTTGTATTTGGCTGTGAAAAGCCCACCTTGGGAAACTGTGTTTAGAAACCATAGTAATCATGTGGAAGTGACTCTTCCACCTGGAGTTAGTAAATCAAATGCCAAATCCAGGCAGGTATTTAGGGTGAGACTTTAAAAAATGGAAGCTCTAAATGCAATTAGAGTAGATCCTGGAACGGGGAAAGGACATTAGTGGAAAAACGGGGAAAATCCAAATAAAATCTGTAGTCTAGTTAACAGCAATGTACCAATGTTAAATTCTTGACTTTGACAGATATACACTAGTTACATACGAAGTTGACATTTGGAGAAACTGGATGAAGCATGTACAGGAATTCTCTGTACTGTCTTTGAAACACTTTTTTTTTAATCCTCACCAAGGATATTTTTTCATTTATCTTTAGATAGAGTGGAAGGGTGGGGGAGAAACATCAATGTGAGAGAGACACATCGATTGGTTGCCTCCCACTCAACCCTGACCAGGGCCAGGGACAAACCTCAACCGAGGTATGTGCCCTTGGCCGGAATTGAACCCAGGACTCTTTGGTCTGCGGGCCGACGCTCTAACCGCTGAGCAAAACTGGCCAGGGCTCTTTGAAATACTTATAATAAAATTATTACAAAATAAAAAGTTTATTAAAAAGCATCAATGCAAAGCAAAGCCCTACCTGATCTGCTTATTAAAAAAACAAAAAAAACAATAAATAAAAACTGGAATGCTAAAATATGTAAGAGAGTAGATTTGTCAAATTTCTGAAGCAAGCAGAAAACTGAGTCTAGATGATCGTTGATAAATAATGTTCAGTATATCCTAAAAATGTTAAATGTTGCATGGCAGCCCAAACTACTTTTTTTTTTTTTAATGGAATTTGGTTTGGCTCAAAATTTTTAAATTACTTTAACTTCACAGCTCTCTTTCAGGTTACCTGCCAGGCAGTCTATTTAGATAGTGTTGATAATATAATTTCAGTGGATTTGCTGTGATGCAAAGTTTGAGCAGTTTAACCCTTGGTCCAGTATTTGAGAATTTTTCTAGTTATAATGGAAATTTCATAGTGATGCTTTAAACATAACCATAAGCTTTATATCCTAATCAGTAACCTAATAAGAGCATTTCTTGTGGCTCTGGACAGCAACTGTTATATTAAATGTTGTTTGTTTTTCTTTTTAATTTTACTTTTCTTCTCCACAATAAACTCCACAGTTTATTTCTCTGAAGGTGTTCTACTCAGTTATGAACATCTACCTACCACTGATCATAGAAGAGTCTAGATAGGATAATCTAATTTATGGAAGGAGAAGCCTACAGCCATTTTTTTTGTTTGTTTGTTTATCTTTTAAGAATAGTTTATTGATTTTTAGAGAGAGGAAGGAAGAGAGAGAGAGGAACATCGATGTAAGAGTGCAACATGGATAGGCTGCCTCCTGCAAGCCCCCTACCGGAGATCAAGCCCGCAACCCTGGCACCTGCCCTTGAGAGGGTTTATTGAACCAGCAACCTCCCAGTGCACAGAACAATGCCCATCCACTGAGTCACACTGGCCAGGGCTGCCATTCTCTTTTTATTGAATTTATTAGGGTGACATTGGTTAATAAAACCAAACAGGTTTCAAGTGTACAACTCAATAAAACGTCATCTGCATACCATATCATGCGCTCAGCCGTTCTCTTTTTATCATTTTATATCCTCCCTATCCTTCCAGTTTAATTGTAGGAAATAAACCTTTAAAGTGAGGCAATGCAGATTCTATGTAGGTTGTTTGGTTTCACTGCTCCCTAGTTGAAATCCAGGGCCAAAACTCTACAGTGTTTACTGAGATTAGCATTGGTGATTTCCTTTGGAAATTAGTATTTGAGATAATATTAAATTCAGTTGAAAATCCCCTTTTCATGTTTGTGAAATGAACTGAGCAGCTGTTGGTGTCCTTTTATCAGCAGACTGTACCTCTGTTTAGGGGATTTTAAGGAAAGCCATTTGCAATGCAGAGCCTTTTCTTCCGGTTCCTGAATGAGCTAACATCTTCCGTCTGAACCTTTTAAAGTATCATAATAGCATGGGCCACTTGTACAAAATATAATCCAATGTATGTTGAAAACACCCAAAAGAGATTAGCATTGTTTTAATTGCATAATTCAGTATTGTATATACATTACCTTTCATCAAAGCCATTTTACAGAACAAATATTACCTTCTTAGGGCTTTTAGAATTCCTAAGAGGTTGGTTGCATGGGCTATAAACTAGAATTATAAAGAGAGAACTTTCTTAAGATTGCAAAACAAGTAGTGATTGAAATTGGAATAGAATCCAGCAAAGTCTAGGTTCTCTATATTTTTACTTCTCTTATTTTTCAGAACAGGAAAGCATATTGACCTTGTTACATTATATTATGCATGGAAGTTTAACCCTTTGTGTAATTTATTCTATTTCATTTGGAAATATAAGAGAAAGAAGCATTCACGGTAAAGGTCATAATTAACGGAGACATAGTATATATGGATACATAGTTATATAGCTATATTTTAATTTTTTAAGTGTGGTGGAGAAGTTTTTCTCTGGTGGCAAGAGGTCTCCCTGCTCTAAGCTAACAGTTGCTAAGTTCTAGTTAGAGAGTAGTTGAATGGAAAACTTCCCATCCAGGTAAGTTGGTTTTTTAACTTATTTATTTGTTTCTCATATGTTAATGAATAGTGGCTATGTCCATCAAGTAAAAACTATATATTTTTGTGCGAATATTAGAAAAAATATACAAAGACCTTTATAAAGATGCCCAAAGTATGACCTTACTTTTTTCTTTTTTGTCCCTCAGGGGGAGACCAAGCTGAAAATTACTTTGGACAGGACAGCTCCGATGATAATCACAGTGGAACTCATGGCCCTTCTCTCACATCAGATGCACCTTTTTTGTCAGATTATCAGGATGAGGGTGAGTGTCATTTTTCTGGATTTGGGTCATCATACTTTGTTACTTTTTGTCCTGGTGTCTTTGCCCTTTGTCATTTGACTCAAACAGCCTTCGGTGGATTCTCTGAATTGGTAATCACTAGTTTGCAAAGAACAACTATTTGTTTCATTGCGGTGCTGGTCCTCCTGGGTAATCCAATACATCTGAAGTTAATGTATTTAGGAAAACACTAATTCCATATTGGAGCAGGAAGACATCATTATTGATCTTTTTATAAGAACTATAGCTCAAAAGCTAAGAGGGTATTTTAAGATTGCAGGGCCCAATTTACCATTCTTTCAGAGATTTTAGCTTTACTGAGTTGCATGAGAATTAGAGCTTTCATTTAATGATTATTGGATTATTGATTTATTGTGGCTTATTTGAAATTTTTAAGCTCATCATATAATAATAAGATATTATTTTTCCCCATGCTTTGAACACACCTTGACCATATTGGTGTTGCTTAAGGGGAAGAAACATGAACCACAGTGCAAATATTCCTGGAGCATCAATTGTACTTGAAGATTTAGGAATGGGAGGATTTAAATAATTCAACTGTTATAAATATTATTTTTATATTAAAACACATTGGTGTGTAATAGAGTGGAATGCAAAATATACATGAATTTTTAAGATACACGAATATACAAAATTTGGCTTGGTGGCTGCTAGTTTCTGGCTCAGACTCAGATATCCCAAGGGTGGGGGTTCACTGTGCCTCTTTTGGCATCTGGCCACTTGAACAGAAGGTTTGATCACCACTGATGCACACGGTTATCTTATCAAAGTCTCTCTTGTGCCTTTCCAGTGGGGGAAAAAAGGTAGAGATGCTACTAAACTGAATATTAAATTGGAAACTTATTACTCACTTAGGGATTGGGAGTAAAGTTGGTAAATTATTTCTTATTTCTCTTTATTAGTCTGTAATCTTTCATTTATTTTTCTTCCAAATTTCCCTATGACTTTGGCATTTTGTGAGAGTTCTTAATCTCTGTGTTTCCTTCTCTTTTTAATTTATCCATGAATTCTTATTTCATTTAGCCCTTTTGGTGATTCATATTTTCTTCCTTTAATTAAATTGATAACCTCTACATCGGAACTATGGATTCAATCATACAGAAACACTTCATTTTGCTTGAGCATTGAAAACTAGCACAATCAGTAAGACACAAGTTTTAGAAATTGGGCCTTGTAATGTGAGATCTGTATATTGGTTCAGGTATTACACTAAAAACATTGGTTGGATTGAGAGCTTAATAATTACATTGGTAGCTGATTAATAATTGTAGAAAATTAACAGTGCAAAACATTTTAAAATTTTTTTCATTTGTTTTTGATTAATCTAATGCTTGACAGAATTAGAACAATAGTATCTCATTAATCCATAAGTCACTTATTTGGTACTTCCAACTTTCCCAAACACAACTGAAAACACAATAAGTAACCCAAAAAGACCTCTAAGTAGAAATAGATGTTCCTGAGTCCTGTGTTAACACTTATGTACCTTATTCTTGGAAGAGCCCCTGAGGCCTTCACTGGGGATTTCTCAGCTCAGAAATTTTTAACCATTATAGTGTTTTGATTTCTCAGCCCACAGTAGAGTGAAGCATCAAATTAGAAGAAGGGGTACTGTAAAGGCATCAGTTGAGGTATAATCAACTAACATTGAGATAAGAAACAGGAAAATAATTAAAAATTTATATAGAAAACAAAATTTATAATTAAAACAAAATTTAAATAGAAACTCAAAAAACATAGCTGTCTGGGGCCATATCATATTGTAGAGAGAAACAGCTCAAACTTTCCTCTAAGAGCTCAGTACCTTAATAAAGTGAAACTTTTTAGCTAGCATTTATTGTGCACTTACTACGTGTCTTGTATCTATGTTCTAAACACTTTGTGTATATCATTATTTAATCCTCAATATAGCCTGAGGAGGTAGATATTAGGATTATCTTTATTTTATAGGTGAGGAAACTAATACCAATAGAAGTGAACTTATCTAAGATCACACGGCTAGTATGTAGTAGTGCCAGCATTTATACTTACACAGTCTGGTTCTAGAACCTCTGCTCTTAACGACTCTGCTATTCTTAGTATTATCCTTATCTGAGTTATCCAAAAAGATGGATTCGTGTTCCAGACATTTTGGTTAAGACTATACAGAGACACATGGCATGTTTAAAAATATTTTTATTAAAAATAGTTGAATTTTTAAAAAAACTTTAGTGTTGCCAGACAATAGTAATGGTAGTTGCCAGAGGTAAGGGGGTAGGGGGTTGGGGGCACCCTAATATATGATGACAGAAGATGGTTTGGCTTTGGGTGAGGGGTAAACAGTACAATATATAGAGCTTGTGTCACAGAAATGTGCACTTGAAACCCATATGATCCTATTAACCAATGTCACTCCAATAAATTTAATTTAAAAAAATTTTATTTAGTGTTGAAATTTTTCTATTGTCTGGAAAACTCTAAAATGGAGGACTTTGTTCTATAATGGTTCCTCATAACAGAGGCATTAACTATATTTGTAATATTAAACTCTTAATAAACTTTTATTTTTAGTTCTATGCATAAAAGTTAGAAGAATTCCCAAAGAGACAGTCAATGGTAGAGATTTGTTTATGTGTTAAAAATTTAATTGTAGGATGATGTGATAATGTTTAAATATGAGTTTCTGCAAAGCATTGATTCTAGCACGTGCCTGAGTGCTTGATAAATAATGAACCCAATAAATGTTTGTTTCCTTCTCCTGAAAAATGAAGATGTATACATTTTCTGTAAAAATAAAGAGGTTAGAAAGATGTTAAAATTTTTAGTAAACTTATCCTGCTTATCACTATGGAGAACAATAACACTTGAAACACTACTTATTTGTTAGTTTTACAAACACTTATTTAGAGATTATAAGGTAACAGCAAGGCACTTTGCTAAGCTGTAAGTGAAATATGAAGTAAAAAATCAGACACAGTCCCTCCCCTCATGGAGCTTACCATCTCACTGGGAACACACACTACTAATTAGTAGACAAATAAACAAATATAAAGTCAGTGTCTTCAGTTCCTGGTGAGATAGCTAAGGCCATCCTTTAGAGAAAAAAAAATACTTTAACTTTCTTTGTAGTTCCATTATTTTAGGCTTTTGGAATTTTATCTTTATTAGATAACAAAAGGTCACTGTTAAAATCTTTCATCTTTGTCGCCTTCCACCTCCAACTAGAGCAATGTCCTAAAGGTACAATTATGAAAGGACACATGGTTTGACCCATCCACCCATAACTTCAGTGATGAGAAGCAATAACCGTGGTGTGTGTCATGTTTAGGACATGCTTTTGTGAGAACTGCAAAGAGATCTGGAAGAATATAGAAACCCAGCCAGGTGCACAGCAAAAAATGAAAACCAAGGTTACAAGCTAAACCATGCATACAAATGAGAGCATGTTGCTGCCTAGTCACAATTCCTTCTTCTTTTCCTTTGTAAATGTTCTCAAACAGGTGCATGGCTAGGAATGAAAACTTGCTAACCAGTAAAAACATTTAGATTTCTAAACCTAGGGAGGCACACTTTCTACCAGATTGAAGGAAAAAAAATGTAGTATGAAATGCTGAATACAATAACTTTACAAGAGTCAGCCGACTATGAGATCTGACTGCTTCCATGGTCCAAATATACAATGGATTTTAGTGTGTCTATAGTTATTTTATTAGCATAATGAATAACCTCTTTGTACATATATGTTTTAAAAGAAGAGATGGGGAAAGTGATCATTCTATAAACAGGGTATAGTGACTCCTTCTGGAAGAAAAAGAAAAAACATTTTATGAGAAATGAAACCTAAAATCTATAATAATGTATTATTTATTATATACTATATCTTATTCCATTCTAATTAAGGAAAAGGTAATGAATGGATATTGGACAGATATATCTGGGAAGAAGGGGGAAAGAATGTTTTTAGAGCTTATTTTTACATTAGGAAGTTGAAGGTTTAGAGAAGATTCTTATTCTCTAGCAAAATGAAAAATAGAATTGGAAAAGTAAAGACCTGTAACCATCTTTGGAGAAGAGTAATAATGAATAAGTGAAGAGCCTGGTATTAATCAATTTATTATATGCTACTTGATTTAAAAGAAATTACAGACCTGTTAAAGCACCAGTAGTGGCCATTTTAAACTCTATGTCTTTTCTGAAAAGTATATTAGAAAGAGTATAGCTTATTTGAAAATAAAGAGAATAGTTTTTTTATAGCTTTGTTTTGCCCCCCCTCTTATTTCTAAAAATATTTCTCTGCTTTCATTTGATTCTTAAATAAAAGTCCGTTTTGGATTTAATATTATGAATAATAATAGACTAGTTTTTGTTGATTGTTGTGTGTTTTATTTTTATAATAATAATAGGAAGAAGATATTATCTTAATATCTTTCTAATGAGAGAAAGAATATATTTTAAACAAAACTATTTTAGAATTGTGAAATAAAAATGAAGGTTTAAGTTGTTGATTAGATTTTTGTGGCTGGAATTAATTTTGTCTTAAATTTCATTGTACCAAAGTTAGAATCGTGGAATCTGGGAGCTGGAAGGAATGATAATCATCTAGTAACAGGAACTATTTATTGAGTATTTACTGTGCTGTACAAAATGCTTCCTGTGAATTATCTCATTAAATTCTCAAACCATCTCAGAGAAGCTACTGTTAGTCCCATTTTACAGGTAAAGAAATAGAAGTTTAAAGCAATTCAGTGACTTGCTAAATGATGACTTATCTAATCCAGAGGTCTGGGCATGGGGATTGAATTCTAATAAATTCTACTGCTTTTTGAAGAGCTCTGATTAGCTGGATATTTATCCTCTAAAACACCTACTCTTGTGGACTTCACATCTCATTCTCCTTACTGCTTTTATCCCAGTGAATATAATGTTCATTTAAAAAATAAATATAGTCAAAGCTAAAAATTATCCTCTAAATACTACTTTAA